TCAATATGACTTGATGTTCCGGGTGAGCAACTAAGAACGGCTCTCATCAATCATTTTTCCAACTGTGATCGTCAATATCTTTTCGTTAGCGAAAAGCTATCTTGTTGCAGTTTTCGTTAGTGTGTTGAGATTTAGTTTCCGTATTTGATCGTGTAATAATATGCATACATTACATTTTTAATTCACGATATCTATTGATACTCCAGATCACGCCGACAGCCGTTCTTAGTTGTTTACCTGGTACTAGGGAGTTAAAGCCAATACAAAAACTTGCAATTACGTATGGACGTAAACGTGAATAGAAATACAAGATACAAGACCAGACTCATTTAACCCTATTTTTCTTTTCCATTCAAATGTTTTGATTTGTTAGTCTTCGCTTGCTTGGATATTGTTCCACTGTTGTTGCTGCAAACCCTGTTGCAAAATGGAAGAGATTTTCATATTCGAAGCTACAAATGATAGCGATGCTAGTAGTGACGATGACCTAGATGATATGTTCATCCTTCATGTACTGAATGAGAACGACAATTTAGGTAATCGAAGGGAATTATATAGAGATATCAATTAGAACAATTTATTTGAGATAGACTGTACAAATCTATTTCAATTTGCGAAAAATGACATTCCAAAATTAGCTAGAGGCCTAGGAATACCAGGAAGCTATAAGTTTTCCAGTAATTTACATTATATTCATTTGGATGAGGTTCCAACGGCCCGTGTCTAAGTAGGGATTATGGCCTACAACTTCCCTTGCGAGATGCTAATCATCTTCCAAGGAGAAGAGAATTCTTTTATTTGAATTGTCCATGATTTCAAAGAATAGTAGGTTAGTCACCCTCTCCTCTTTGATGATTTCTTCGAAGCACAACACAAGAACAAAGCGCAATAAAAGACAAATGTGATTTCATGTGATAAAAGTGAGGTTGAAGTAAAAACCGAATAGTTATCGTTTGTATAGATATAGATAGGTAACGTCTTCGGTTCAATACGATTTGCGTTTGTTTAGCGCCAGCGTATAGCAAGACGTAAACATACGTCAGACCATGTCAGACTAATCTCCTGGCGTAGGAAATTCGCATACTGCGCATGCTCAGAGGTAAAATTCTACGTTTACGCTTACGTATTCTGCATTGTTTTAACTCCCTACTATAATTATCAGGATATTCATCTTCGCCGGTTTAGTCGTTAGGAAGATATTTTAAAAAAATATCGATGTATCAAGTTACCCGCAGATTTGAAAACTTGGAACAGAAAATCAAAAGTTTCGTTGTAGTCAATTTATCGACTGGGTACATAAGTATTCGTTTTATTGATATCTAAATCAATCAGGAATCAGTTTGTGATTAAGTAACCCAATAAATAAAATATTTCAAAGAGAATACAACATACCTAGCATTGTTATGAATGTATTTCATTAAAAACTCAAGAAACCTCTTGAATATAATTCCTAACAGCAAAAAGGACTAGTAAAATCTCATTTGGCAAAAAAACTCAAAAATGAACTCTTTGGTGGTGTTGTGGGGTAGTGGATAGAGGGTCTTATCACATACCTATTATGATCACAAACAGATAAGTACAATCATTCGCGCCTGTTCCAAGTTTCTGGCGAATTTTTCCAACTCTTACTCTGTAATGAGAACATTATTGGCAACACTGTTTAGCAGTATTATCGCGATATTTTAATGAAATTTGTATTTGTACTTATTCTATAGTGTTACTATATTGTGAAATGTTTTCACCATTCAATAAATAAAAGAAATTACTTAATAATAGATACAATATAAAAATCACATCTACATTATGTCAAGGGTCAATAAGACTGTGAATTCTTGAATACAGTAGAAACTTTTCCTGATCAGATATCGTTTTGATTTGCTTTCGAAGGGCGGGAGTAGAAGTTAGTTTCTCTGGTAACAAAAGAGGGGCAGAAGTCTCCTATCATTCCCTAGGGAGATAATGTGACATATTTTCTCCCTAGGGAGTTTATACCAACTTTACATTTTCCGCATAACTCTCCGCTTTCTTTTCAGAACACCCTTCTCTGAAGCGAGTATAAGCTGCATCATACAGATTTCTAAATCTCACTGGGAGCAAGTTAAGAATCACTGCAGAAGCAGTATCAATAGTTTCTTGTGGTTTTCGCCAGCGTAAAAAATAGTATACAGTGTGTCCCACTTACCATGCTCACCATGGGTATCTTTTTAACGGTGAGAGATACGAGGTCGGTTAAATGACACCAAATGTGGAGTTTGTCAAGGCCAACTATAATGTGAAAAAATATTTTGATAAAATCTATTCGTTTTTGTTTTATACGCAAAAAACAGATTTTGATCATTTTCATGTCTCCTCCGTAACTTCTTTATTTATGAAAATATTCAAATAGGAATTTCACATTCTCATGGCAGTTTTTCAAAGTCATTTCGACAAGAATATGAAATTTTAAGCAACTCTTCTAGAATTTTCAAATGTAGGTCATAGCTGACTATGACTTAATTACAAATAACTTTTTTTTCTCTTACAGATGATATGTCATATGTCGCAGTAATAGTTTTGTGTTGATAACGACGGAGTTATCGTCATTTATACAAAAACAAAAAATTATTTGGAAGCCGCCATATCGAATTTATGAATTTTAACAAGAAAATCATGATCTCCGACCTCAAAAATCTCCTTACCAATTTTGGATGGAATCGGACCAAATCTTGTCCGCCATCTTGAAGCAGCCATTTTTGTTAACTGATGGCGGACAAGATTTGGTCCGATTCCATCCAAAATTGGTAAGTGGGGGTTTTTGAGGTCGGAGATCATGATTTTCTTATTAAAATTCATAAATTCAATATGGCGACTTCCAAATAATTTTTTGTTTTTGTATAAATGACGATAACTCCGTTGTTATCAACACAAAACTATTACTGCGACATATCATCTGTAAGAGAAAAAAAAGTTATTTGTAACTAAGTCATAGTCAGCTATGACCTATATTTGAAAAACTAAAGTTGGTGCTGTTATCTCAAAATATAGAAGAGTTGATATAAATTTCATATTTTTTTCGAAAGCACTTTGAAAAACTGTCATGAGAATGTGAAATTCCTATTCGAATATTTTCATAAATAAAGAAGTTACGGAGGAGACATGAAAATGATCAAAATATGTTTTTTGCGTATAAAACAAAAACGAATAGATTTTATCAGAATATTTTTTCACATTATAGTTGGCCTTGACAAACTCCACATTTGGTGTCATTTAACCGACCTCGTATCTCTCACCGTTAAAAAGATACTCATGGTGAGCATGGTAAGTGGGACACACTGTATACACCTCAGGACAGAATGGTATTTTTCCCTCGGTGCTTTGTATCTCTCGGGCTTCGTCCTCGAGCTTCAAATCGCACCAAAAATCTTGCCTTTCTGTCCCTTGATGTATAATGTATGTACTATTCTTCACATTATTAGGCAACCTGTTGAAAAAACTCGGACCAAAGGAATTGAATCCTCATTGAGATTTCTGAAGTATATTTGTAGCAATGACCATATTATTGTTATTTCTCGTATTGTGAGTATGGATATCAGAGTTTCGTTTGTATGCAGTCAAGTGTTCTTTCAAATGAACTAGGCTATGATAAATATACATGGTTACTAAACATAAGTTATATGTAATGAACGCCGTATATTGTATCGATCATGTCTTTTGACTTGAAGCTTTTAATGTTATTTTTTCTGTCATATCCCTCCTTACTGAACAACTATGCAGGATACGATGTTTCAAACTGAAGCTGTAGATTTTAGTTGGTAATTTGAAAGTATGAAGTTTTGTTCCAATTTACCCCGCAGGTCCAAGTATCCCCATTCTACGGTACGTCAGTTGGACTAAATTGGCAGATTTTTTTGTGGAAATCTTCATTTCACACTCGAATCATGACCAACCAAAGACAGTTATTTGAGTTTCTATTTCTTCTTCCACTGTTGAGTCACAGTTCTTATTCCATCGCTGAAGAAAGACGAATAATCAAAAACTCGAGCAAAAACCCTATGATTAGCGTCAAACTTATGCAACTTCTAGAGGATTATGGGAAATTTTGAAAATTCAAGAATATGTCTGCTTCGTTATAATTCATTTGAAATTATGAGCAATACTTCTAAGTAATCGATAGATTCAGTATTTTCATAATGATCTACAACATATTTATATTTACTCTCTTGTCCAGATCGACATAAATTTTCATACGTTTCTCGTCATTCCAGCCAACGTCTGTTTCATTTCGCGTTCAAAATATTGTTCTTATCTTATACCGTTCAATATATTATACCATATTGATGGATGACTAGATGAAATCAAACTTCCTAATCTTCTATGCCATGCTTCTGAAGCATTATTCGATCAAGGCAGATCATTCTTGACTCGTTCATAAACATTCCAAATATCAATGGCAAAAATGGATTTCCACGTCGTCTTCTCATAGACGACCTATCTGTATATACGTATCTATGAATTAGTATAAATCTGTAGAGGCTTTTGGAAGAAGAACTGAAAAAACTTCGGGAAAACATTCGAAATATCCTATAACATATGAAATTCGACGAATTGACACAATTTAGTCCAACTGACGTATTCGGCCAATTGACGTGTTCGACCAATTGACGTATTCGGTCAATTGACGTATTCGGCCAATTGGCGTATTCGGCCAATTGGCGTATTCGGCAAATTGACTTTCGACGAATTGACTTTCGGTGCTTGGCACACGACAGAAACATATGACAAGTACTAAAAATGCGTATGCTCCATGACATCCAGTTCCAGATAGTAAATAGCAATAGCGATAATTTTCAGTTGTCTGGTCGTCAATTTTATGTGCAATTTTCTTTGTATTTGTAATAAGGCGTTTGTAATAACTGTTGAAGTCCACAATGGATGTACGATATAGATACTCGAAAGTTATAAATAAAGAATTTTCCAATATAGTGTATACTGATCAATCTTTAATAATTTTAGTTCCTTACCAAATTCTGCATTGAATGCTGATGCCACGGAAACGATGTAAACACACCATAATGAATCAACGAATTTTGGGAATTCAACTTTTTGTGGTGGCACCGGCGGCATTGTCACTCTATCTCCTGCAAAAAAAACTTTATTTTTCAAATAGAAAGAATCATACTCATTACCCATTATATAAAATAATAATATATTACTGTTTTCCACTGCGTGTTACTTCGTGTAACTATCTATCTGCAGTAAAGGCACATTTATTTCGAATAAGCAGGCCCGGATTACCTAGCGCGTTGAGCAGTCGCTCAAAGCGGCAAATCTCAGAGGGTGGCAAATCTTCGCAAATTGAAAATTTTCTATACATTATAGATATAAAATCAATTGAATTAATACGCTGCAGCTACAACCCTTCGAAGAAATTATTTTACTAATGCCAGTGGCCATGTAAAAGGCTCTTCGTCAGTGTTTTTTGTTGTTTAGTAGATTGGGCTTTTCCAGTCATTTCTATAAAAAATATATCTGGAAATATATGGCTCTGTAATACCTTAAAATAATTTTTTGAGATTTTTTCTCCATCAATTTATCGTATATAAAATTATTGAAAACGTCAAAATGAACGAGCGAATTCAAACGATCAGACATGGCCGCGAAACGTGTGACGTCAGTGCGCGAGCAATTCAGATTGGTGATTGCCTGACCTTCTGGCTGGTGCCAATATGATGAACAATGTTGCCAATTTGGACAGAAAGTTATGATCAGCCGGATATTCTTTCCTCGATTTTCTCCTTTTGGCATATAATACACATGCTGTTAAATAACCCAACTAATAACTACTCCCCTAAACAATCGTGGTATAGAAAACTTCCATTGCATAATTAGTTAGTTGGTTGATTCCTGTTATTGGTGCATATATTCATGACATTCAGTTTCAAAACCCTTTCAGAAAGTACATCCAAGTTTAGGTACTCACCAAATATGTATTGTTTATACCTACCTATATACCAATCTACCATAAGAAAATAAACAAATCCCGAATTAATCAATAGCTTTCAAATTGCTAACTTGGTTCTGTTTCTATTGATTTCAGTATAAGCATCACTGCGTTCTTGTCAATGATATTAAGAAATAAGAACAGTGAAGTTAGGCAAGGGAAGAGGTATCAACTAGTCTTGTCAAGAGATCGCCCGTCCATGTAATATGTTTTAACTATATACAGGGTGAGTCATTGAAATGAGAAAGTGAGATAACGGCTTCGATGTTTGAGATAGATGATCAAAAATTTTTGTGTTGCTCTAGGCTCATGAGCAGCACATTTCCAAAATATTTCGCGTTATACAGGGTGACTCAAAAATGCGTGACGTATCAAAGTCATAATTTTTGTTATGTGACACCCTGTATTTCATTGAACTTTCGGATTTTCCTCTGTGAGCTGATTTCGTCAATGCAATGTTCAAGATCGGGATTTTTCGACTTCAGGTTTTTTTGTGTCGAAACTATCCGTTATTGGTCAAAACGGCTTACATGTTCCTATCTTAACTTCCGATTTACTATCTACTGATATTTAATTTGAACGAATACAGGGTGTTTTATAATTCTGAATTTAGAACTACCCTGTATTCGTCCAAATTAAATATCAGTAGATAGTGAATTGAAAGTTAAGATAGGGACATGTGAGTCGTTCTCACCAATAATTAATAGTTTCGACACAAAAAAATCCTCAAGTTGAAAAATCTCGATTTTGAACACCCTAAATCTCTGTCATCATTCCCGCTAGATCCCGAGTGAGATGTATTAATAGAATCAGCTCAGAAAGGAGAATCCGAAAATGCAATGAAATACAGGGTGTCCTATAATAAAAAGTGAAACTTTGACACGCCACGCATATTTGAGTCACCCTGAATACGCAAAGTAACTTAGAAATATGCTGCTCATGAGCCTAGACCATCACAAACATTTTTATTCATCTATCTCAAACAGCGAAGCCGTTATCACACTTTCCCATTACCATGACTCACCCTGTATGTTCTGTAACCTATATTTTATTCATGTTATTGCCTGACTTTATTGATGTATGTATGTTCTCTCACTTTGTACTGGGGGGCGGCAAAATGTGTGCTGCTTAATGCGCCAAAATTTCTAATCCGGGCCTGCGAATAAGTCAAACCACTGAATATATGAACATGAAAGAGAACAATAACATAATACATTAAATAATTCATTATCGACAAACGATGCACGAGTATACATATTAACGTATATTTAAACCGCGTACACCATTCAAAATAGTAAAGGTATAATAATTGTGCGATTTATTTAATTTTAATAGGTACTGAATTTCAAATTCATGTCCATCAAGGTTACGTTCTTCTCGTGGATTGGTAAATCTGCATATACCTATCCGTATGATGAATGTAGCAACATGGTGTCCTATTCAAAATCATAAGTGAAGCAGTATTATTGTTGATTATTCAATATTCAAAATCGGAAATGATAAATCGACCCTAGCAAAATTCAAGTCCACTAGAAAAATTCACATCTATAATATGAACTGTTGATCTGACCTTTCAATAGTTGACTTGATAGGTTTCGTTTCTTTGTTGAAGAGGAAAATAAACATTAGTATAGGTGAGGCATTATCACCTCCACTGTGTGATGAATCATCTACGATATTTGAAAGATACATTATTTCGTTAAATATACTGTCTGTAAATTCTTCAGCAGTTTTTTTGAGATTTTCTTTTCTTGTTTGTATGAATAATAGTAGATTGTTCCATAAGGATCAAAAGTGGCACTTTGACAAGCGAATTTTGCTTTTGCGAAGCCGAGCGAAAGCAAAATTTGCGAGTCAAACAAAGTCACTTTTGATACGAATGAAACATGCTATTTTTTCAGGTAAGTAGATAGAAGCAGAAGCAGAAGCAAGATATGAGACTAATCGACATCAGAATATCGGTAGACGATGACTTTACTTTGTTACAATTTGTGTTGATATGCATCATCAGATACTACAGGCACGAATTCAATACTATACCTAAAACGTGAATGCTGTGCCATATGTTTGAAATGCAACAAATACTCCGTGTGGTGAAAATATAGGAGAAAGAAGTGGAAAATGTTAGGTTAGTGAGCATATCAACAATAATAATAGCGATTATTTATTTCCCTCCATATTCCACTGTGTTTGCCTCGTTAATCAAATGCAGATAAACAATATCGTTGTGTAAGACAAAAAAGTATTGCTGGCTGTGATTATGGGAAAACAAGTTATCCAATCAATCAGATCCCGAGAATGAATGAATTACAGATCAAGCAAGTATGTGAATCTTGAAGGCTTTCCTCATCTTCTTCTTCTTCACTTTGGGTTTATTGGATTTCTGTCTCCTTTCGGAAACAGGCCCATTGTCCTGTTATCAGTAATCTCCAAAGTGATGGAGAAAGCCATCAATATTGAGCTTATCAAATATCTGGAGAGCTCAGGAATCATCAATGATAGACAATACGGCTTTCGCCACCGAAGATCTACTGGAGATCTACTTGCCTACGTCACCCATTTATGGCAAGCTTCATTAGAAAAACACGGGGAATCTCTAGCTGTCGCGTTGGACATATCGAAAGCATTCGACCGTGTTTGGCACGAAGGACTCCTCCACAAACTACCATCATACGGCTTACCACCTCAGCTATGCCATCTCTTATCGAGTTTTCTTTCAGGAAGATCGCTTCACGTGGTGGTGGACGGTGTATCGTCTGATACCATTGGCATCAATTCCGGCGTTCCACAAGGATCAATTTTGGTACCAACATTATTCCTTCTTCATATCAATGATCTGTTGGGAGTAACAACTTGCCCCATCCACAGCTTTGCAGATGATAGTACCCTCCATACTGTGTTCTCTTCCAGAATTCCCATTTCTTCCCAGGAACGTAAGAACTCACGGCGCAGGCAGGTCAACGCTGTCAATGAAGACCTTGCTGAAATTACAGCCTGGGGAACCAACAACCTAGTTGAATTCAACGCCACCAAAACTCAAGCCAGTATTTTCTCTAGAAAGGCGGAACTCAGTATGCCCGACATTGTAATGTCTGGCACCACCATCCCCACCAAACCCACCATATCTATGCTCGATATTTCCATCAGCAACACTCTTTCATGGGATAATCATGTCAGATCTATCGCAAAAGCTGGTTCACAAAAACTCGGATTCTTGTTTCGTGCGAAAAGCTATTTTACACCTCAACAGCTTCTCATGATCTACAAAGCGAAGATACGGCCTGTTCTAGAATACTGTTCCCACATATGGGGTTCAGCACCAAAACATACACTGATGCTCTCAGAATCCATCCAGAGAAGAGCCATCCGCCTGGTGGGTGACGCCACACTCACTCACTCTTTGACATCATTGGAACACCGTAGAAAGGTCGGCGACCTCTCACTTTTCTATCGATACTTCCACGGAAAATGTTCTTCGGAAATCTCTGCAATCATCCCTTCACTAGCATTACCAGTCAGACGAACTAGACATGCCCAGTCAGCACATCCTTTCGTAGTCAACCTCGAAAGATGTCGAACAGCACTTTTTCAAAACTCCTTCATCCATAGAACGGCTAAGCTCTGGAATGCATTGCCTGAGAAAGTATTCCCAACAACATATAATCTCCAGAAGTTCAAAAAAAATTCCAATACCTACCTCCTATCCCTATCCTCCCTAGGAACGCACGATGTTCTTTGGACATTATAGGGATTCCCTTTCGTGCGCTCCAAGCGATGACAAAAAAATCTCCAATCATGGGTACGATATGCCAATTCTGCCGAAATCGGGAACAGATCATAGGTATGCGTCCCAACACAAATAACCAACCATAACAATGTTGTTAATTCTTTGTTGTTAATCCTTTCAGCCTCAAGTTCAACTTTAGCTCCTAGGAACTGAATGTTTGTGTCAGTAATAGAAACGTCAATTCAGAAGCTAATTTTGGTATTAAAATTGACGACTTTTGTGTCGGTTACAGAAAATAGTTATTTTTGTATCTAGAGCGCGAAATGCTACTTTGGTGATCGAGATCTAGTTTTTTTTAACGAGGCGTAGCCGAGTTAAAAAATTAGTCGAGTAGTA